AAATTTTTTCATTTTTATCATAAATCAGCTTTTCTTTTAAGAAACTATATAAAGACCCATTTCAGAGTTTTGCTTACGAAAGTGACTTGAATCAGTAGTAACTAACCAATAAAACATGATAGTTGCTTTCAAGATGTTACCCGTATAATAACCAAATTTCTGGATAAGACGAAAACGGTCACTGGCTGTCTAGCACAGTTCTAGCTTTCCTTCATTTAATTTAAAAGTATCTGCTTTTATTGGCAATAAATCTATTTTATTTATAGATATGCGTTATATAAAAGAGTACTTAACGACAAACTCAGTTTATAGACGATTAAACGTGAAATCGCGCATTTTCTCCAGTTCACTTCTTAAACATTTCTGTATTTAGATGGTTAAAAACTTGACTTTAGATTTCAAAGAAGTAGCAGTTTTAAAGAAGTAAGCATTCTTTGTTAAAGTTACATAAACGGTTTCTTTCAGAAATCAATATTTGTCGTTATTTAGGTAGTACTGTTCAATTTTAAAATTAAAACAAAATCAGTTGATACAATAACTCAGAAATGGAAAGTTGTTTACTAATCGTTTGTGTGAGACCAAGATGTACAAGATAGCAAAATTGAAAAAAAAATAATAAATAGTTTTCATTAACAGACTGGTGCACAATAAGATGTGATAAGTACAACCAACAAGTTTTCAAATGTTGACCTTACTTACCAAATTTCTTATGCAATGCAACAGTGAAAATAAGTATACTTACTTGACTCACTTAATTGTTAAATGTTAAATGTTCAATTCAATAAAATTTAATGTCAGACGTTTCTTGAAAGGCTTATTTTAACGAATGGCGATGTAGAAAGAGTAAATTAAACTTTCTTCAATAAAAGAGAATCCAGAAGCTGCTGTTCAACTCAAGATCGTGAAGGAATCTTTAGAAAAACCTTTCCCTATAGAACAGAAAATTTTGGAAAATCTAGTATTTTCACAGTAACATTCCTAAACCTTGAAGGTTCTCCTAGAATGTCACGCGAAAGATTTATAAAAAAAAGATAACCAAATTTGTATTATTTTTTGGGAAAAGGCAACAGAAAAGAATTTAAGGAATTCAAACAACAATTAAAAATTGTTACAATGAGCATCAATGACACACTCATTTCACTCAGTCGTATTAAAACATATGAGTGTCCAGTTTATAGCCAAAAGAAGCAGCGCAGTTCTACTATGTAGCCTTGTAGGGTATACTCTCAAACCGAACAACTTTACCACACTGCTAGCATTAGCTACATTACATCAATATACATTATTTCTCAAGAAGATACTGTTTCTTTCAGAATATGCCAGATTTTGTGTAAAATAAAAGCGCTTTGTTCCGACGAGGACTTCATTCTGATCAGTTCTTCTTTTTGCAGCCGAAAATGTGGTCGTTTTAGCAAAAGATTAAACGTTTATATTTACAAAGCATAATTTTGAGTAATTTCGAAACCCAGAAGGAGCACGAGTGTAAAAAACCAAAGCGGAGAAATTACAGACGACTTTCTTTCCTAACATAACTCTCTTTTTTTTCTTCTCAGTGAGGTTCTCTAAACCTGCGTGCATTTTAGTGTTAGCCATGTTTTAAAAAACGAAAAAATTTAATGAAACAACTTCTATATTGAAAGGCAATATTGATCAGCACAACGTAATTATCAGATTTTAGGGCACAGTTCTTGTGTCTCCGGGTGTTCTTTCATCATGCGTTTGTTGAATGCCGCTTTAGCGTTGCTGAATTGTTTTCTGGCCGACAATTTGATCTGTTTAATGCTACCTTCAGAAGTCTTGATTCCTCGGTGAACCATAAAGACGTTGTTGACTACAGCGAATGTATAATTCTGTCGACACATTTCCCACCTCTAAAAAAACTGTTGTTTTTGATAACGCCATTTATCAAAAACCAGTAAAGCAAAATATAAATATTTGAAACATTCGGAAAGCAAGAACAATGCTGACGCTTTTTTGTTGTTTCTTTTGTTTTAAAATAAAACGCTATAAGATTACCCAGTGCATGTTTTACTTAAGGTATATTCTATTCTTTAGTGTACCTTGCACTGAATAATACTGACATTAAGCTAAAAACATAAACAGCTTAATTTTTTTTATAAAACTTTATTTTTGCTACACAGTTTTAGCTAAAAAAGAGAGCTAAAAGAGGGGTTTC